CAGCTATACATCACAGGAAAGCCTTCTTAGTTCAGCTATGCGTAACAGGAAAGCCTTCCTAGTTCAGGTATACATGATAGGAAAGCCTCCCTAGTTCAGCTATACATCACAGGAAAACCTTCGTAGTTCAGCTATACATCACAGGAAAGCTTCTCTACCTGTATCGTAAGTTTTAGAAGAGTGAGAAAATAAACATCTTAAGCACCTCCAGTCATTTTGGGAGATTCCCAAAAGAAGGGGTTCCAATTTTTCTAAGTTACTCATTTTGCTTTTTAAAGAGACAGAATATCCCTCAGTAAACTATGTTTGTCACGGGGCTACTTTAATAACGTAAACTGTGTTATAGGGTTACTTTAACAGCATATGTTTAATAAGTGATAAAAGTTTCATATTTTATAAATTTCATAAAATTTGCCAAAATGACTAAACAACTTTCTCCAGCCAGTTTTTGATATCATCAAAATTATCTCTCATCCAGTGCATATTAGCTTCAACTTCCTCGATGGATTGCAGAAAAGCCCGATGAGCAGGACCAATATTATCCTTCTTTTTTTCATAAAACTCCTTTATCTACATCAAAATAACAAAAATAAGAGTTATAACCTCATTAACAACTTTACACATTTGTTGAAAACACTGAGATCTGGATGCTAATTTAATTAGTATTTGTTTAAAAGTGATTACTGATCTTCATTTGATAAATTGGTGTTGTTTTAACTGTACCATGAATACTTGAATACTTCATATCTATATTCATATATTTATAACTGTACCATGAATGCTTCACATCTATAACTGTACCATGAATACTTCACATCTATAACTGTACCATGAATACTTTATATCTATAACTGTACCACGAATACATCGCATCTCTAACTGTACCATGAATACTTCACATCTATAACTGTACCATGAATACTCCACATCTATAACTATACCATGAATACTTCACATCCATAACTATACCATGAATACTTCATATCTATAACTGTACCATGAATACTGTATATTTATAACTGTACCATGAATACTGTATATTTATAACTGTACCATGAATACTTCTCATCTATAACTGTACCATGAATACTGTATATTTATAACTGTACCATGAATACTTCACATCTATAACTGTACCATGAATACTTCCTACCTGTTATTGTACCATGAATACTTCATATCTATAACTGTACCATGAATACTTCATATCTATAACTGTACCATGAATACTTCATATCTATAACTGTATTATGAATATTTCTTTTCTATTACTGTGCTATGTATATATATTTACTATTATTGTGCTATGGATATTTATTTATAATTATTATAGTTTGGATATTTATTTACTATTACTATGGTATGTATATACATATATATTTATTATTATTGTGCTATGGATATTTCTGTACTATTATTATAGCTTGGATATTTATTTACTATTACATTACTATGGTATGTATATACATATATATTTATTATTATTGTGCTATGAATATTTCTGTACTATTATTATAGCTTGGATATTTATTTACTATTACATTACTATGGGTATTTCTGTACTATTATTATTGCTTGAATATTTATTTACTATTACATTACTATAATAATAATAGTACAGAAATATCCCCTTTAAAGTCAAGACACACATTGACTCAGTAACTACCTTTAAAGTCAAGACACACATTGACGCAGTAACTACCTTTAAAGTCAAGACACACATTGACGCAGTAACTACCTTTAAAGTCAAGACACACATTGACGCAGTAGCTACCTTTAAAGTCAAGACATAGGAACATTACAATGTCTTATACAGAAATTCTTTAAGTCAACAGTGCTAAATCTGGGAACTAACATTTGTTTTGCAACCATATAGGTACAATCGAATCAACATTCTCAATTGGGCGTGTAGTATGGACCATCCTGACTGTATAACATCGGCACAAGCGAAATTTCAGAGTTGGGTAGAGAATCCAGACAACAAAACAATGTGAGCAGTCAGTTAGTAGCACTTTGTGAGTGTGTAAAAATTTAACTAAATATAAATGCATTTAAATATTCTGGGATAATATTGTAATAATAATGAGTAATCCATTCCATTAGTGTAACAGGTAATCCTGCTTTTACATTATCATATCTTACCACTGTCATTGTATTTCCTATTATTTCTTCAAGCAGTATTTCTCCAAATATAAGAAGCATAGTTTACTGTACTGGGGTTAAACATGGTGGACAGAAAGCTTGGGACATTCTTTGGAAGCAATATCTGGCAGAAGAAAATCCTATAGAGAAAAATAAGCAGCTTAGAGCTCTGGCTTGTGCCCGTGAACTTTGGCTCCTTTCCAGGTGACTTCTCTCCTACTATTTATTTATTTTTTACAAAAAGGATTGCCTTTTTTATTCAAAGTATTTATAATCATAGTGATATAATATGTATTTTCTGACCAAACTTAGTAATCTAGACACTGGAGAGATCTTTCATAGTAACTGTGGTATATGATAAATTCAGTTAAAGAGTAAGCTGAGGTGAACATTGTGTTTGGTAGTTCTGTTAACAATATTGTGGGGTATTCAGTTAGATGTATTTCTGTTATTTTTACACTTTTTGATATCAATATCATTACGCATATCATTTTGTGTTTTGCAGAAGAACCACATTTGTTGCACTTCACAAATATATAATTATTGTTAGTTTACTTCATTATTGTTACACTAGTCATACAAATGGCATATGAATTTTGACTGACACTTTTCTTTATTTTGCAATGTAGATTACTTGAGTGGACAATAGCTGAGGACTCGGGAATTAGACGTCAAGATGGGTTGTACGTCTTCATAGCTGTAGCAAGAAACATCTTTGGTCGGGAAATTGTTTTTAATATCTTAAGAAGCAAGTGGGACACACTGAGGAAAATGTATGTGGACATATAATGCAGTAGAGATGTTATTCCTAAAATTTAATGGCGTTATTTTCTATTATCATCTTTATTTGACAACATTCCTAAAGTTTAAAGAATTATGTCTGATTTTTTCTGTGTACACTCAAGAACAACGACTTTTACACTAGGCATGTTTGGCAGCATTTGAGATCATAAAGTTAAACAGATCAGACAAAGTTGGCAATGTTCCTCGCTTTAATCGTATTACTCTAGGTCAATTTGGCAGCATTTGAGATCATAAAGTTAAACAGATCAGACAAAGTTGGCAATGTTCCTCGCTTTAATCGTATTACTCTAGGTCAATTTGGCAGCATTTGAGATCATAAAGTTAAACAGATCAGACAAAGTTGGCAATGTTCCCCGCTTTAATCGCATTACTCTAGGTCAATCAATGTTTGACATATTTCATCAAATCAGGTAGATAGACAAGTTACAGCATGTTATTCAAATTGGGTAATAAACAGCTTGATAAAGTACTGTACTCCACATCTGAAGCCAACAAGTTCCAAGGTTTCCATTGATCATTAAGCATTTTGCTCCACATCTAAAGCTGACAAGTTATAATTTCATGATTTAATATTTTATGGAAAACTTACATTGTCAGAATACACAAGAAAACTTCATGAGTCAATTAGTAAGTGCATTAAACACACAAGATTTATCACTGAACAAAATAAAGGTTGTAAACTAGCCACTATTTTAAAAATCTATAAGACATACCTACGACCACCCATAAAATATGGATGCCAAGTCACTTACAACAGGTCAAATAATATTCTTTAGAAGCTACAGTTTCAATAAAATAGGATCTTAAGACTAACCCTAAGGCTCCCAAGATACACCCCTGTTAATTACTTACACAAAGCAAGCTAGATCCTCCCCTAAAAGAAAGACTCACAATTATTACCAAAAAGCAGAAACAAGAAATTCTCTCGCCACTACATTCAGTGTTCAGCACGACCCAAAAGCTGCCCCTTATACTTAACACAGATCAATAAAGAATAGCACTGAGTAATTAGGGTTTCCTTTTTATCTGTTTAACCATTACAATAAACATGTCTTGCTTTTCAGAGGACAAGTAGATCATTTGGTGCTTGTCCAGTGAAAGTGAATTTTCTCGGGGTTCTCCCATTTCCCCCACAACAAATTCTGAGGCATTGGAGCTATAGCTCCCCGCCATCCTGAAAAGGTGCCTTCTTTTTTCTTCTTTCCATGACCAATTTCCAGTCACACACCGATGTTTGGTAGCTCGTCGACCTCCTCAACTTAACACAAAATGTCCTCCCTTTGCCTTCCTCTGCCTCTTTAACCTCAAACAAACAAATTAGTGTTTGTTTGTTTTTTCATGATGGCTTTAAAGTTCCACCTCCACGTGTGGGGCGAAGAGGAACAAACATATTCCTGAACACCTCCATCAAACTTTACCTTCAAACTAAATACCTGTCCTGTTTAAACAAAGAAAGATATTTACATTAATCATTAATTAAGCACTTTGCTTCACATATAAATCCAACAAGTTTCAAATAGAGAATTTAAAGAGTATTACCATCCTTGGTTTGAAGGTTCTACAAATGAAGAGGCAATTACTGGGATATTTCTCATCCTTACATGGTTCTAAGATAACTATATTACACATCCATATATTGCATCTTAGGTTAGAGGGTTCTGTGAATGGAGCGATAACATTCTTATTTAGAAGCCCCCCAGTGGTATGTCTTTGGATTTACAACACTTGAAACTGGGTTTCGATACCCCTGGTGGGCAGAGCACAGATAGCCCATTGTATAGCTTTGTACTTAACTTCAAACAAACAAACACTTATTTAGTAACCAGTATCTTGTACATGTATATTTTACATCCTTGGTTAAGGCCCGGCACGGCCAGGTGGTTAGGGCACTTGAATTGCAATCTGAGGGTCATGGATTCGAATTCCCTTCCCTCCAAACATGCTCACCCTTTCAGTTGTGGGGGCATTGTAATGTGATAGTCAATCTCACTATTTGTTTGTAAAAGAGTACTCAAGAGTTGGCAGAGGGTGGTGAGGACTAGTTGCCTTCCTTCTAGTCTTTCACTGCTAAATTAGGGACGGCTAGAGCAGATAGCCCTTATGTAGCATTGTGCAAAATTTGAAACAAACCAAATCATCCCTAGTTAAAGTATAAATCCTGATATATTAAACATCCAAATTTTACATTCTTAGTTAGAGGATAACTACCTTTATATTGTACATCCATATTATACATCTAGAAAGAACTTTCAACTTGTGATCAACCCATTGACTGCTGATTCGGCGTATAGGGTACGGTCTGCCTTCGGGAGTTATTTACAAGTGTGCCATATATGGTGTATGGCTTGCAAAACTACCAAGCATGTTTAGACATAGAAAATAGTTTTTATTTGCCATTTTAAAATACATATTTATTATTGTGTTTCATGATAGCAAAGTGTTTCTTTGTTGCAGATATGGGTCATCTATAGGTTCTTGGGATTATTTAGTCAAAAATTCCTTCTCATCTTTCAACACTCCTATTGAAAAAGAACAGGTAACATGTCTTGCAGTTTCTTGTATAGCTCTTAGTTTTACTGTCAGATTTTCTTTAGTGGCTTTAAATGGATATAATTTTTGAGAAATACCCATAGTAATGTAATAGTAAATAAATATCCAAGCTAATTACTGAGTCAATGTGTGTCTTGACTTTAAAGGTAGTTACTGAGTCAATGTGTGTCTTGACTTTAAAGGTAGTTACTGAGTCAATGTGTGTCTTGACTTTAAAGGTAGTTACTGAGTCAATGTGTGTCTTGACTTTAAAGGTAGTTACTGCGTCAATGTGTGTCTTGACTTTAAAGGTAGTTACTGCATCAATGTGTGTCTTGACTTTACTTTATACTTATAGTTATAGCGAACACTTTGTACGGAGGCTTTATACTTATAGCTCTAACGGGCACTTTGTACGGATACTTTATACTTATAGCTCTAGCGGGCACTTTGTACAGATACTTTATACTTATACCTATAGCAGGCACTTTGTACGGAGACTTTATACTTATAGTTATAGCGGACACTTTGTACGGAGACTTTATACTTATAGCTATAGCGGGCACTTTGGACGGAGACTATACTTATAGCTATAGCGGGCACTTTGGATGGAGGCTTTATACTTATAGCTAAAGCGGGCGCCTTGGGTGGAGACTTTATATACTTAAAGCGAAAGCGGGCGCTTCCTGTGGAGACTTTATATACCTTAAGTTAAAGCGGGCGCTTTGAATGGAGACTTTATATAGTTAAAGCTATAGTGGGCACTTTGTTGAGAACAAACACTATAATGAAGGACTTCCTGATAACACTTAGACTATTAGCTGTTATTACAGATTTGTAAAATGATGTGAAAGTATTAGGTTGTTTATGTTTATTCAAACTTTTTGTGGCGAAAATGGAGCCTCGGATCTACAGTCCAGAACACGAACACCACGCCCAACATTTCATATTTTTGATCAAATTATTTTATTCCATAAACATAATACATTAAACATTATACTTGAAAATCTATGCTTTGTTTCGTAAATATTCAAACTATTTTGGCTGTTAATAATGCTAAGTTAGACCAAAGTGGTCTATGTATGTTGCTGAATACAAATAATGACTGTTATTTCTTTGACCTGAAGGTCCAAAATGTTGTCAAGGAAGAAGACAGAATTAACGTCAAAACAGTTATGGATTCTTGGACCTTACAAACCGGATATCCACTACTTACAGTGACACGTGACTATAGGCAAGGCATTGCAACTATTACTCAGAATCGTTTTCTCTTAGAAAATCAAGGAAACAACAGCATCAGGTTCGTACAGAAAGTTATTTCTAAACTTTTTGTCTTGGCTGCTAACGTTCGAATAATGCAACATTAACCCAACAACAAATTTTTAGTAAAAACACATTTCCGTCTTCCAAATGGTTATAATAGCTTTTTAAGGAAATGAAATGTTTAATATCTGTTGATAAATACATCAATGTTCAGATGCATTTGGGCCATATTTTGGTGCGAAACATTTCTAGTCCACAGAGAGTTCAGATGGTCGAACTTGGTGATAGTGTTGAATGAAGCATTCCTAGTCCACAGAGAGTTAACATGGTCGAGTTTGGTAATAGTTTGGTATGAAGCATTCCTAGTCCACAGAGGGTTAAGATGGTCAAGGTTTGTAATAGACTGGTATAAAGCATTCCTAGTCCACTGAGGGTTAAGATGGTTGAGTTTGGTGATAGATTGTTATGAAGCATTCCTAGTCCACAGAGGGTTAATATAACGGAATTTGTTGATAGTCCGGTAGGAAGCATTCATTTCCCACACAGAGTTATGATTGTGGAGTTTAGTGATATTCCGGTATAAAGTGATTTAGCCTATAGAGGGTTAAGATGGTGAACTTTGGTGGCAATTTGATATGTAGTATTTCTATTTCACTGAGATCGAAATATTTCATTCATACAACTTGCTTTATAACTGTTTCTTTAAGATAGCATTTATTTCTGTATTTGTTTTTATTTTAAATTTAGTCAGTTAATTTAAGTAGAAGATTTGTTTTTTTTAATTTCGCGCAAAGCTACACGAGGGCTATCTGCACTAGCCGTCCCTAATTTAGCAGTGGGAAAGCAGCTAGTCATCACCACCCACCGCCAACTCTTGGGCTACTCTTTTACCAACGAATAGTGGGATTGACCGTCACATTATATCGCCCCCACGGCTGAAAGGGCGAGCATGTTTGGTGTGACGGGGATTCGAACCCGCGACTCGCAGATTGCGAGTCGAGCGCCCTAACCACCTGGCCATGCCGGGCCTAAGTAGAAGAAATAATTGCAACAGAGTAACAGTTAATCATTTTTCTTTATTCTGTAAAAAAAGACATTTTTTTTTTTTGCAGCGACACCAAGTGGGAGGTACCAGTAACTTACACGGACTCAAAGGAAAGAAACTGGAAAAATACTACTACCCGTCTGTGGCTTCATAAAACGAACGGTAATTTTTTAGATTACAGCTAATCAAAACTATTTGGATATACGCTGATTAAAGAAAAATATATTCACTTACGTCTGCCCACGCAGTTTTTATACTATTTTAACTATTTACAGACAATAATAAATAGTTCATGCGGTTTCAATACTCTGAATACTTATTAGTTAAATTCTGTCTACACAGACATTAATGAATAGTTCGTGTTATTTATATATTATATTTACAGACACTAGTGAGTAGTGTAATTTTTATTGTTTTTAGTTTTATCGAAATGCATTTAAATTATGCATATAACTGAGTTGTTTATAATCTTTCATAATATATATAAATATAAAGTAAAAGTATATGTTTAACTTATAGGCAAGTTAGAGAACCTTGCAGGACCTAACCAATGGCTAGTGGTAAATGTACAAGAAGTGGGATATTACAGAGTAAATTATGACATCCAGAACTGGAAGCTTATCATCAACCAACTTGTAGAAGATCATCAAGTCAGTGTTAAACTATAGACACCTATAATGTCAAAAATAAAGATTTATTTATTCTTATTTGTTGCTAAGTTAAGGTAGCACTGACCATTAAAACTTGGTAAATTAACACACTGAGGAAACAATGTTAAATTAAAACTGGGTAAATTTATACACTGAGGAAACGCTGTTAAATTAAAACTTGGTAAATTTACACACTGAGGAAACAATGTTAAATTAAAACTAGGCAAACTTACATACTGAGGAAACGCTGTTAAATTAAAACTGGGCAAACTTAAACACTGAGGAAACACTGTTAAATTAAAACTTGGTAAATTTACACACTGAGGAAACAATGTTAAATTAAAACTGGGGAAACTTACATGTTGAGGAAACACTGTTAAATTAAAACTTGGTAAATTTACACACTGAGGAAACAATGTTAAATTAAAACTGGGCAAAATTACATGCTGAGGAAACACATAAATTAAAACTTGGTAAATTTACACTGAGGAAACAATGTTAAATTAAAACTGGGCAAACTTACACAGAGGAAATGCTGTTAAATTAAAACTGGGCAAACTTACATGCTGAGGAAACACATAAATTAAAACTTGGTAAATTTACACACTGAGGAAACACTGTTAAATTAAAACTTGACAAACTTACATGCTGAGAAAACACTTAAATTAAAACTGGGTTAACGTACATGTTGAGGAAACAATGTTAAACACTTCTTATAATCTTGAAAGTACACTTTCAGTCATATATGTAATAAAGTACACTTACAGTCATATACGTAATAAAGTATATTTCAGTTACGTATGTCATATACATAATTGTTCCAGCAGGGATAAAGAAATACATAACATAACCTGTTTTAACACCATAACTTTATTTAGGAATGATACAAAAAAATGTGAACAATGATACACACCTTTGTAGCTGGCATTAAAAACTTTCCAAATTTTCTGCAATGTTAACGAGCTATGGGCAATTAATTGTAATTAATGCCTTCATTAGTGGTAGTTATACTCATAACAAGACAATTGGTAAGGATTTTTTAGTTAAAAAAATCCAGCTATAGAAGAGTGTAATATCAACAAGTGTGCTAAATTTCATGTTGATATTGACTTTAATGATGAAGTGGAAACGGAATGAAAACAAACTAGACTTTTAGTTTTTAATCACTTACTACAGGTTGATTAGTAAAGTACTTAAGACAAAAATGAGTTATTTATCAAGAAAAAAAGGGTTAAACTTTTGATTTAAGAAAATTTGAAAAGTGTGATTTTTGAAATATTGAGGGTTCTCTTTAAGGGTCAGTGGTACCTTAAAGGTAATAATTCCAACTTATCCCACACATAACATTGACAATAGGACTTTATAAACCCCTTATTCATGTGTAGCAGAGGGTTAGTGGAAGTATTAAGATCAGTTTTGTTTAGTGTAAGCCCGACTACGATCTGAATCACCTTATGAGACCTACCTCTAGTAGTTGATGTGTTAAGATCCTAATCTGATCTAGATCTGTCTGGTGTTGTTTAGTGTAAGCCCAACTATGATCTACATCTCCTTATGATATTGTATGATTTGTAGATGAAGTGTTAAGATCCTAATCTGATCTAAATCTGTCTGGTGTTGTTTAGTGTAAGCCTAACTATGATCTACATCACATTATGAGACCTACCAGTACCAGATGAAGTGTTAAGATCCTAATCTGATCTAGATCTGTCTGGTGTTCGTTTAGTGTAAGCCTAACTATGATCTACATCACATTATGAGACCTACCAGTACCAGATGAAGTGTTAAGATCCTAATCTGATCTAGATCTGTCTGGTGTCGTTTAGTGTAAGCCTAACTATGATCTACATCACATTATAAGACCTACCAGTACCAGATGAAGTGTTAAGATCCTGGTCTGATCTAGATCTGTCTGGTGTTGTTTAGTGTAAGCCCAACTATGATCTACATCTCCTTATGATTATGTATGATTTGAATCGCATTAATTTTATAATTTTCAAGTTTACTATGATCTGTCTGAGTCATGGTGTGATCTGTAACACATTACTTTATATTGTCTAGTTTACTGTAGTCTATCTAAAAATATTCTGTATTTCAAGTTGACTTTGGTATGTTTGAGTTGACTCTGATTTCTGAGATCTGATTGTGACTTGCTTAAACTGACAGTGAGTTTTTTTAATTGCTTCTGGTGTGTCTGAATTGAGTCTAATATATTTTATTTGATTGTGGCCTGTCTGAGCCAACTCTGATTTCTTGTATATATTCCAGTCTGCTGGAATTCCTCTGAGCTAATAAACCTTGGACTGAGAACTCGAACATAAATACTCGAAAAAATGAATAAAATTCAAAACTACTTTCCTAGAATAGAAAGTTGAATAACTCGGTTGTGTGAAAGTAGTTTTGAATTAGTTTCCTGGAAGATTTATCTTCATGAACCAGTGTTGTAAACTACACGTTCACTTATTCAGAGACAGGTGGAGCTAACAGAGATTGATTAATAGACAGGTGTTTTAAAACATTAATATTAATTTTACTAGAAAAAGAACAAAATAAATAGCCAACAGCATTATCTGTTAATATTCTGTTGTTGAATATTGTTTAGTAATCTTAACTCAAAAATTGTTGTTTTTAAAGAAAAAATGTTATTTTTTCTTGCAACTAATTCTAAACATATACATTTCAGGCCATCCATGTCATAAACAGGGCCCAAATAATTAATGATGCAATGAACTTGGCTAGGTAAGATTTTCATACATATCTTACAAGTTATTTCTTTTATTTAAACCAACACCTTTTGTGCTTCCAACATTTTCATTTCACCTTGCTTTCTACCTTTCATACAGTGTTTCCCTTTTTTTGTTTACCTGTAACCTCTGAAAGTCTAAAACAATTCTTGTTCTTTTGGTTGAACTTTTATATCTTTTAAAATGTATTTTACCCTATCACCTGTTTTTTCATAATATTTCTTGTTTTCTGCTCTGTATCCTTGGTTTGAAAATGTTCCTTATTTTCTTTCCTGTGGCTTGGGTTTTCAAAATGTCTGTTTTCTACCTTGTACCCATGATTTGAAAATGTCGTTATTTCCTACTCTTAGTTCATAAAAGTCTCTTGTTTTCTCAACCGTAGCCTTTATGTTTTTAGAATGATGATCTTGGGCTATATGATAGCTTCTATATCATTATTTTCTTTGCTATTCTGCCCTGTATCTCATTATCTTGTGCTAGTTTAACATATTTTCTTATCTTTCTGCTTTTGTTTGTTTACAGTTTCATTTTATACAAAATTATGTTATTGAAAAGTAACTTTAAAAAATAGCAGGTACTATCAATAATTCCCAAAAGCTTCTTTTCATATCATGATATTATGTTTCCTTTTTTTCTGTTATCATTTGATGTGGTTTAAGCTGTCACCTATGATTCTAGGGTTAGTGTGGTGCCTTATGAGTTGGCACTAAACACCACTCTCTACCTGAATAATGAAAAAGAATATATCCCCTGGGCAGCTGTACTGAGTTCATTTTCTTATCTCAATTCCATGCTATGTCGAAGTAGTGTCTATGGAAAATGGAAGGTATGGCTTATAGATTAAATATCTTAAACTTTAGATTGCAGTTAAAGCTAAAAATATTAACAAACAGAAATTTTTAGTTAGAGTTGAGCTAGTAGTTAGATTTAGAGCTTAAAACGTTGAGAGCCAGAAGCTTGTTGCTAGAGCTAGAAACATTGAGTAACAGAAGCTTTTAGTTAGAGCTGGAAACGTTTAGAACCAGGAACTTATAGTTAGAGCAAAAGTTATTGTTGAAAGCCTAATACCAGGGTTTACCTTTGTGTTGTTGAAATAAAGCTTTTGGTGCAGTAGCATTAATTTTTATTATTTCTCTCACAACAGTCATATTTATTTTCATCAGTGTATGTGCTTGTAACTCAGTCTAAAAATACTTAATAAGTATTGGTAGTAATTTGTGGTATTATACCATTACAGACAGAAGTATTGTCATCTGAAATAAATACATTATAATAGAAAATAACCATTAGTGCAAATATCTAGTAACCTTTAGCTGCTTTTAAACAAAACATGGAACTAGTAGTTGTGTAAGAACTAAGATTTCTCAAACTATTGAAATCAAAAATACATTTGTGCATGACAAAAATATTAGCACTTTTGTGTCAGTACATCTTTCTTTGACTTTGATTGTAGCTTTCAAATGTTTCATTTGTCAACAGTTCAAGTACAAGTATCATTACATGTAAATACATGAGGGAAAAAAGTGAAATTACTGTAAATGTTGCAAATTATGCAAATACAAGATGTCATATTTAATGGAAATGGACATACACAGTCGTTTTTTGTTGTTTTTTTTCAAACTCAAGACTAATGCTCACTTTTCTTGAAAGTAGTTATTTTTTTGGTAATTAGTAAATAATATACAAGTTAAATGGCTTAAATTTTTCTTTTTAGAAATATGTTAAAACACAAATAGATAGCATGTACAAAGAACTTGGGTGGGATGAAAAACAAGAAGATGATTTACTAACACAGTGAGTATCTCCATTGTTAATGTTACTAATTTATTAACACAGAAAGTATTTACAGTAATGTTACTGATTTATTAACACAGTAAGTACTTACAGTAATGTTACTGATTTATTGACACAGTAAATATTTACACTAATGTTACTGATTTATTGACACAGTTAACTATTTACAGTTAGGTTACTGATTTATTAACACAATAAATATTTACAGTAATGTTACTGATTTATTAACACAATAGATATTGACAGTAATGTTACTGATTTATTAACACATAAGTACTTACAGTAATATTACTGATTTATTGACACAATAAATATTTACACTAATGTTACTGATTTAATGGCATAGTATATTCAGTTTTTATGTTACTGATTTATTAACACAGTAAGTACTTACAGTAATGTTGCTGATTTATTAACATGTTAAGTATTTACAGTAATGTTACTGATTTATTAACATGTTAAGTATTTACAGTAATGTTACTGATTTACTACCACAGTAAGTATTTACAGTAGTTACTGTTTTATTAATGCTGTAAGTATTTACAGTAATGTTACTGTTTTATTGACACAGTAAGTATGTCCAATTTTAGATTTTATTGATGTTTTATTTCCATTCAAGTGTTATTTAGTATTTTACTGAAAATAAGTATAGTTGCACATTAAACTTGTCCACAATAAAAACTTTGATTGACACAGTAACTACCTTTAAAGTCAAGACACACATTGACGCAGTAACTACCTTTAAAGTCAAGACACACATTGACTCAGTAACTACCTTTAAAGTCAAGACACACATTGACTCAGTAACTACCTTTAAAGTCAAGACACACATTGACGCAGTAACTACCTTTAAAGTCAAGACACACATTGACGCAGTAATTACTATTAAAGTCAAGACACACATTGACTCAGTAACTACCTTTAATCTGTACAAAGTATCCGCTATAGCTATAAGTATAAAGTCTCCGAACAAAGTGCTTGCTATAGTTATAAGTATAAAGTCTCCGTACAAAGTGCCCGCTATAGCTATAAGTATAAAGTATCTGTACAAAGTGTCCGCTATAGCTATAAGTATAAAGTATCTGTACAAAGTGCCCGCTATAACTATAAGTATAAAGTCTACGTACAAAGTGTCCGCTATAACTATAAGTATAAAGTCTCCGAACAAAGTGCCCGCTATAGCTATAAGTA